ACTGCGACATGTTACGTTCAGGAACCAACGTTGTTATTCATTTATATAATCTATTTAGATTTATTTTTATTTTCATCCTTGTCGTCAGAGGTACCCCCTCCCCCTAAGGTCGATGGTGCTTGAAATCCTTCCCCCACCCTGAAGAAATATTATTGCTCTACTCTTCTTAAAAACAGTGCAAGCGAAAGTAGGATTAGAAAATCCTGGATTATATACCATTACACTTGCTTTGATCTCGTCCATGTTTTTCTTTTAGTTCACTGGTTTGAAACTTTTCTCTTCAAACATTCATAACTTCGTCAAAATGTGCTCAAAATCAAAATTCCCTTAACATGTGCTTTCCCTCAAAAATTTGATGGAGCAACTTGCGCTAAGAAATCCCTTTCTAGGCACCCCTGCTTGTCGTAAATATTTTTGTTCAGGCCAAAAGGAATTTGATAACATAAAAACGTTGAAAAGAATCTATTTTGAGTTCAGAAATAAACATTGCACATCAATATAAATGATTTCGAAAACAATATTTTCCAAATATTGTAATTTTACAATTACAGTTGTTATGGTGACAATTCACTGTTGAGGACTTGCAAATGGTAGTTGAAGTGATAGTAGCTGTCAGTGCCTAAAAAATTTATGTACCCACCACGGAATTTGTGTGAGGATAAAATATGATAATTCAATATCACAATTGTTTATTAAAGAATGTTGACTAATCGTTTAGATTGACTTATCACTTTCCAGCCATGTTTGATTTAATATTGCTTTGAAATTAATTGAGTCCAAGTAGCAAAATTCTTGCCCGACGTTCTTCATCACCACATATATTTATTGATCTTGGCTTTCGCTTATTCGATCGGGTATCCTGTTCTTGGCATATTAGCTGTTGCATTAGCCCTACCTAACTCTCTCTTGTTTTTGAATATTATCAGTCGATTGATTGAGTATGCAGTGTGATTTAGCAACTCAACGCAGTTGAGCAGCCGTGCGATCCTCTCATCCAAAATACAGTTGGCAGCTCATGCGGAATGAGAGTCCACCAAGCAAGTGGAAAGTTATTTAAAAAATCAGTAAAGCCCTAGTCCACATCAAGCCGTTCTAATAGCAGGGAAGAAGCCTTGACTACCTTGACTAGGTTGAGAATAGGTCATACAAATTTGACTCATTTATACCTTATCAACAAACCACCTCCAACATGCCAATATTGCAATAGCCCTCTCACTGTCAGCCATTACACCGCAGGCTTAAATAGATTATCTCTTGGACTGCTTATTTTAGCTATATTAAATAATGACGAATCAAATATAAAAACAGTTATAAATTTCCTTAAAACTCATCGATTATTTAACAGAATATATAAATATAAATAAATAAATAAATATATATATATTTGTTTAAGGAGTTTCTGAGCTCCAGAATTAAGCTCCAGAACAGTAATAAAGAACAAACAGGCGTTGATGACCCTAGGGTTTTATGCCTCAAAACCCAAATAAACATACTCCAGTTGTTGGCAACCTCATCCCCTAGCTTTTAGAATCCAATGGTGATTATTTAAGGATATATAGCTTTTGGAATGTTCAAGAAATGTCAAAATGAGCTATTTCAAAGCACAAAACTCTTGCGCAAGCATATCATTGAATATTTCACCATTTATCTTAGTGATCAAAAAAGGTTCTGAAGATAAGGTTAATATCTGGTGTAACCCAAAGAGGGCGTTCACTTTGTTTTCGCTAAGAAACACACATTTACTTTTCAAGAAATTCATAATTGGTAATTGGTTGACTGTCGTGGATAATGAAGAGAAGAATAGTTGGGGTGCTCAGTCAAAAAGGAAGGCAAAAAAATAAATTATAATATTTATTTTTTACAAGTGAGGTAGCCTGATTTACAGCATAGATGAAGGGATTCGAGATATGAGGAGCGGTTAAGTGAGGTGTGAGGTTCAATGATAGTCCAATTGTAAATGAGGTAGCCTGATTTACAGCATAGATGTAAAAAATAAATATTATAATTTATTTTTTGCCTTCCTTTTTGACTGAGCACCCCAACTATTCTTCTCTTCATTTTCAAGAAATTATTTGATGTAAATGGATACTTTTACTTATTTGACTTTTTCATCTTATTCTTTTTTTATTCTTAGGCTTCAACCACTAGAATCATTATCGCCTCATTTTCATTGAGAATTAGATTGTGTTTTCAAGTTTAGAACATTTCAGAAAAGAAAATAATTCATCAATTTCATTCGTATTGTCCTGTAAAATGAAGTGTAGATCGTTTGTCAAGTCACAAGATAGTCTAAATGTTTCGTAAGCTCTGCATTCTGTTAAAATGTGTTTCATTGTCAAAGGAGTCATGTCACAGGTTTGACATGTTGGGGAAGAATGACGGGCCATCATGTATCCATGAGTAAGTCGTGCATGACCTATACGCAGGCGCGTAAGAATTATTTCTTCTTTGCGGTTATTCCTATTTGACGATATCTAAGAGGAAACGTCGCTCTTAACCTCCCTTATCTGTTACTTACCATATCTGTTCCCATTTTGTGTTCATTTTCTGTTGGATGACGGTTATAAAATCCTCTACAGGTGCTCCCGATAAGGTATTCCATCAGTAATGGCTTTTTTGGCAGCTCGATAAGCCAGTTCATTACCAGCTATTCCGCAATGCCCAGGGACCCAGACAAAAAAATACTGATATTTTATTTCTATTTTCGGACTTTGTAGAGTACGGAATGTTATGTATGATGATATTAGATGAGAAAACATTTTCTAGACTAATTAAGGCGGATAGAGAATCTGTGCATATGACCATTTTTTTGTTTAGTGGTCTGTATAACATTTAAACCTTTATGTATTGCAACCAATTCAGCAGTTTAATTATTATATAGTGGTGAAAGAGAAAAAATATGTTGTCGTTCGTTACATATAACTGATGTTCCCACGCCTGCGGAGCTCCCGGAGCCGTCAGTGTAGTCTCTTAGTCATCTTATTCTTTAGATACCACTATTAGTTGAGAATATAGAAACAGTCGAAAAATTTCATTTTTTATTATTTCAAATAGTTTCATGAATAATGGAAATTTTCAGTTTTTCCACCTTTTTACCGAAAGTTGAACCGCCGCTGATTAATTTTCGTCACCCTTCCTAGTCCTAGTTTACAGCGAGATATCTAGATTTCGGCTACTCAAAGTACTAGTTCGTAATTTTATTTGCTTAGATTTTACTTGATATTGTGAATAAAATCTTACTAAGGTGAATAATCGAAATATTATAAGACCAATACTGAAAAAGATCTGTAGTAAGTTATCGAGCATATCACAAGTGGTTCTTTGAACATAAATGGAGCCAGTAAGGTCAATGATATTTCTATAACCTCTCCAATATTGAATAGGAAATCATTTCACCAAACTTGAAACTGGCTTCTCCTTCCTCACTGAGGTAGCAGATAGGTTTTGTGGAAGGTGGGTGGAAGAATAGTTCTGGTTACTAGCGGATCATGGATTTAATTTTCGGAGGGTAGAGGGCTTCAGCCCGAAAGCTTTTTTTTTCATAAAAATAACGATAATTACTTTGGAAAAAAAGAAAGAAACTAACTACCTATATGAAATGGTATTTAAGTGATTCCTAAAGTCCTAAAATGTAATTACAGGAACAATAATACTTTAAGAGATAATTTTTTACCATAAAACATGGTTATATATTATCTGGTTATTATTTGGAGGGGAGGGGGAGGAGCTTCAGTCCCAAAGCCTCCCCTACGTAGATCCGCCCGTGGTTCTGGTGAAAATTGCACAAGGATTTGTAAAAACTGCGAAAAACTGAATCCTTTCAAAATCGAGGGGAAGGACTGGTAAATTATTTTTAAGTCGCAATCTGCATGCTTCCTATTCAACTGGAAGCCTAATGGTGTCATCGCTAATAGCGCCTATGGTGGCCTCAGACATTCGACACCCCCGGACAATGGCGTCATTTTTCCACCCCCTAAACAAATTTAATTTATTTCTTAAATTGTTTTCTATCATGTAATATTTGAATTTTATTTCATTCGACATCCCTCTAATACAGTTGTTTCATTGATAGGCTAAATTTAATTATTTGAATACCTTTTGTATTTTTTAAAGTTTTAACCAATGTCAAGCGCCCCCCGAAGATTGGCGGGCGCCTCCGACGTGTGCCCTCTGGGTCAGCGCCTGGGGCGATTGCACCAGTTGCCGCACCCTAAAGCCGACACAGGCTAGCGCCAATATATTAAATACAAGTTCTACTATTCTATATCAAAGAATATTTAAAGGAAGAAGACACTTTCCATATTCTTGGCTTTCTTGATCAAATTTTAACGGAGATGAAGCAAATTTATTAAAGTTGCTGAAAACAGAGAAACTTTTGACTTACAAGGATAGAAAAAGTGTGTACGCAGTACATACACCACATAATAGTGAAGAGAGCTATTCTTTGATAATTACTTTACATATAAGTTGATGTACTTTTTTTTATTACTTGAGATTAATTCTACTCATCCTTCTCCATGAGAATATTAATTTATATTAATTTAATTAAATGCCTTTACATGCCCATCTTTCTACGTTCTAAACATTTCAGCACAATATTATTAAAGTTCTTTTATTCCAAAGACTTAAAAAAAGAGAACCAGAAATTGGTACTTTAGAGAGAGAGAATTACTTTATTATCATAAAATAAAATAAAATGGTGCTGCCCAATTACATTGGGTTTCTAACAACACAGCATACTTATTAATCACTACAGACAATATTTAAAAATTTGGAAGGGGTGCCGAAAAATGGCCCCGAAAATGGACTCATACAGATAATTTTACAGTTAAACGTTTTATTATAGATAAATTTCACGATACAAATTTAAACATTATCAATCATGTTAAAAATTTTTATATCTGAAATGTTAGTGATTTTAACACTGGCGATTTTCGACATTATAACATAGTTTTATTAACTGTTAATTATTTTAAAAGTTGTATTCTCATTCCATAGATATTTTTTCAGAATTGGATTTTTGTACTTATATTTTATATAATAGTGACTTTTTTTATTTTATTTTATTAATTGTTTACAATTGCTTACGAGGTTATGTTGGCAACAATACGCGGTCTGCTGATAGATAAGAATACAAAAAACACTTGAATAGAGGCTGGCTCAGAGGTTATTGTGACGTTGGTGTTGTTCAAATTCTGCTTTCCTTAGATTAATAAAATTAACCGCCTTAAAGCGTAAGTATTTAATTTTAATAATTGTTTCAACCACATTCAAATTATTTATTAGTAAATTAAACAGTTGTTTTGAAATACTAACTTCATGTTTACTAGTCAAGTTAATAGCATGTTTTATTTTTCTTGTAGAAAAGTGAATAAAATAATGCCAATATGAAAGAACACATATTAAGAGATTCAAACTGTTCCCAAGAAAACGAAGAGGAATCTTATGATAGTTACATCGAGGAAGACTGTGTTACATCGACTCCAATTAAAGTTAAAGGAAGGCGGTCAGTTTCACTTCTTGATATCTCTGATATTAGTTCTTCTTTAGAAAAGAATAAAATCAACATTTACTCAGATACAATTGGTAGCAATTCTTCGCTATGTAAGGATTCTGGATACAATCATTCCGAAAGTTCTCTTACATCAGATAAGTGTATCGACAAAGAAGATGTGCCTTTTGGGGTTGAACTTCGTTCTAAATATGTTCGCCTTCTTGAAGATTTGAAGTTTAAAGATGTTATGATTGCAGCTTTACACCAATCAAATCATAGTCTGAGGCTCAAGATAGCTGATGCTGAGAACAAAATATCAGATCTGAGGCTAAAGAGTGAATCTCATTGTAAATGTTGTACTTATAGAAATTCTGTGGAAGAAAGTGCATTTGATGCCAAACTTCCTGAGAAAAAGAAATCTGAAACCAAATACTCAGTCACACCATTGATCAGAAATGAAAACTGTGTTGTGCCAACAGCCTCGCGCCCTAATAAATCCATGTTTTCTTCTCCGAGGCAACGGGAACCTGCTCTTCTACCCAGTGACGATGCCATTATTAAGGTGAATTTTTAATTATTATAAAAGTGTTGAATTTTATTACTACAACTTATGCATGTGTTACACAAATTATAAATGATTGTGTAAATTAAGTGTTATGTTTGTCAAAGGATTACTAAATTTGTTTAAATCTTGTTAAAGATCAGATTTATTTTCATTTTTCCATTTATTGCAGCAATAAATTCCCCGGATTGTTTTTTATTTATGGCCTATAGTAGAAATTTGATTGGCATGTTTATTACTACATTTGATTATGAATAAAAAGGTGATTTTTTTTTTTTTGAACTGTATATTTCAAGAGTATCAAAATGGTTTAGTGCACTGAAGTAATTAAACATAATAATTAACTAATGAAATGATAACTCAACTAGAATCTGAAATTCAAATCCTTGATTATAAGTTATAAACATATTTTAAAATTATATCATGGTATACATGAATTTCATTTCCGCACATACTTTTGATTGGAATTTTATTCTTATTATGAATATTAAATATAGTTGTCATTTCATGATTAGATATATAAAATATTTTTTTTAAAAAAGTGCCATCTCATGTATTTAATTTAATCTATATTTATTTAAATTTAGCATTGAATTTTTTAATATTAAAAACCATGTTCCTAGAAGTCTGAAAGCTGGTTTCTTATTGATTTAAGTTGAAGGTTCAAATATTATAAAATATAACAACAAACCATGAACTTTGTTATTTTTTTATTTTCATTTTTTACATACAGTTGAGAATCAAGGGATTTACCTCCACCATCAGATTTTTTTTTCTATAATTCACTTCTCCTTTTATCGTGTAACACTATATTTATACTGGAATATCATTGATAATATACTTATTCAAGTATTTGGCTATTGACTGTATGAACTATGAAAATTAAGAAATAATGAAGGTCTTCGTTTGCTCTTATTGTAAAAGTTTTGGATTATGAAATATTTTAGTATTGCTTTCATAGGTGTCCAGCTTTTGTAGTTAAAAAAAAATCGTGCCATTAGTTGTTTAAATTAATTTCTACTCAATTAAATTCTATTTATGATATTTATTCATTCATAGCAAACTTTATTCAACATCAAGTTTAATTTTATTTGTTATGTAATAGTTAAGTAGAAATAATTGCATATTTGTATTTTATTTTTATATTTACAGGTGCAACAATGGCAGAATAACTCTTATCGTGAATGTCAGAAGAGACTGTTTAATCAAATTCCACCTACAGTTTCATCTCCTCCTTTAGATCCTCGTAAAATATATATCAGACCAGTACCAGAGCCTCTGCCCAACACAATGTCTTACATGGAAACCTCTAGGTATAATAATGACATGCACTATACTTGGTGCAGCTTTTTGTTTTTTTTAAATTTCATTAGAAATAATAAGAAGTATAACATATATTATTTAGTTATGATAACTTTGCCCTTTTTCTCCTCTCATATTACACTGTAATTCCAATCAATCCATGCAGTTAAAACAGGCTTGCATGGTTTATTGGAGTGCTCTAAATATCAATATATGATCTTGCCTTCCTGATCTCACTATCATTTCTCACAAAACAGTTGAAATTGGCAAATCCTTTGTTACATCCTTCTAGAATTCCATTCTTCCTGATTTCACTATACTTTCTCCATTTCTGCAGTTAATTAAGGATGTATCCTTGCATGTATCTTAATGATAATAAAAGGCTTAGTGAATCTAAAGATTAGATACTGATATTACCGACTGATATCTGCATACTTTCCTTCACCGGCCTACGTCAAAACCCAAATCCACCAGATCAGCCATAAAGAAATCTTCTTACCTTCCCTTCAATGTATGCCTCGGACTCATCCTTTTTTGTTCCAAACATTCTGCACAATAATTTATTTTCGTAAACAAGGAGCGGCTATGTGGACGGTACTAGCAAACTCTGTTCCATGCCCCTATATGTAATCTTCAGTACCTCTATTACCACTTAAGCATTATTATTTAGAGCATTGTTCAAAAATACCCATAATCTCCAGCCATAAAAAAAATTATCTACTGCTTTATATAAAGGTGGTAAGATAGTTTGAAAGTAGAATTCATCACCAAGCACCCCTTCGTTTGATGAGAAAGAGCTTGACAAACTCTCGATTCATATGTGAGTCCATCGTCACAAGGATAGTACCCTGTTTGATTCATGTATAGGTTCACTGTCGCTAAAGGGTTAATGTTAGTGGTCATATTTCGCATCCTTAAAGAACTGTAAGAAGGATAATGGTTTAGTAAATTCTGGTTTTTCAATTTCAGGACAGAAGGCACGAGCTAAGTAGTTTTAAAGTTAAAAAAAAATAACAAGCATTTCCCTACTTCAACTTGGTCTTAATTTCCTCTTCAATTTCATTTTTCCTAGTTATCATTGACCCTTAATACCTAAACTTCATTACGTTTTCAACCATATTCCCTGCTCTATCTATATTATAGTTTAGTGGCCCATGGATTTTCAATTATTTGTTATTTAATTAGATACTTCACATTAGCCAATCACTGCTTCCTTTGAGTCAGATGGTATGAAAAATGACTTATACATAATCCAAAACATGATTTGATTATTGATTGTCCAGTTCTTTCTAAATTATTTTTATTATCTTTAATCTATAATGTTGTACAAGGACCACGGTTCTCCCACAATTACATTTTGTCATAAAAAAATCTTTTTAAATAGAAGATATTTTAATTTAATTTATAAGATGATGTTTAGCTTTTATTAATGGGGGTTGAAAATATGAGTTAACTTTTATTAAACTTATTTTATTTTATTTATTTAAACTTATACTGCTTTTTTTTCTACTTTATATGAAGTTATTATTGAACTTGAACTTTTTCATTATGATAACTTTTTGATGAAGTTATTTTAAAACTTTTATCCAAATAACTTTTTTGATAAAAGTTTACTATGAACAGTTATTCTGAAAGTTATTCATAAAACGTTTGTTTTTAGGCAAAAAAAAAAAAAATTATTTCAAAAATATATGTTTTATACAATGATACAAAGAAAGTAATTTCAGAAATGCCAAAATTGACATTTATTATCATCATACCGAAATCATCAAAATAAACACCCAATCAAGATAAAAAAAGTTGTTAAGCTCGACTTTTATTTTAGTTGTTCAAAAGGTTTGGGGGAATATTGAACTTATTGTAGAAAATTTTTCATCATAAAGGTATAAGATTAAATTTAATTTTGCAAACTTTTTCTTATTAAGTTTGCTAAATGCTTTTTAAAATCAAACTTATTTAAAAAAGATTATGTCTCTTTCGACTTCTCATTTAAAGTAATCCAAAATAACAAAAAAGTCAAACAACAAAACTACATCATTAAAAACTATATAGTATTCTACTCTTTAGTAGTACTTCTTACAGTAAAAATTTGTTTAAAAGTTGTAATACACATTCAATTGTTTTCATTTTTCCACTTTTCATCATATTATTTTGCCATTTATGTACTTTGACATAAAACAGCTTCCCTTACTTTAATTTTCTTTACTAATTGATTTTTTGATCAATTTTCTTTTCTTCATAAATTAACTCCTGCCATTTTTAACATGTAGTTTGGACTATCAGCAGGTAAAGAAAATTAAAGTAAGGAAAGCTGTTTTTACCAAAGTGAACAAATGGTAAAATATAAAGTGGAAAAATGTGAACGACTAAATTTGTAATAAGAACTTTAACTAACAAGGAGTAATATATTATATAATTTTTATTTTTTTTGTTTTATTGTAGATTATTTGAAAATGGCTTGTAAATAACCTACAGGAAGTTAATTTTAAATGATTAGTTTTGGCGCATAGCCTTCCACTTTTATATCGGGGTTTAAGTTTATTTATACTCGTGGATCTTTAAAACAAAACCCCGGCACTGAATATCGACTTTTTGAGGGTGTTTAACTGTGATTGGGAATTCGGGGATCTATTACCTTTTATGACACTGTGTGAGAAGAAACAATAAGAACATATATATATAATGTGGGACTTAGTAAACACTTTGAATGAATTGACTCACCTGGTTTATTCTTCAATTGTGAGGCCTATAGGACAACTAAATAAAAGGACTGTTCACTCCGATATAATAAAATCATTTTTTTTGACAATTGATAATAAATGAAGATATATAAGTGAACGGTCAGCTTGATAATCTTGGTCTTCAATGTAGTAAGCCTCTCTTCCCAGATGACGTCTTCTTGTGTTGGTGTCCAGGCCTAAAAAGTTTGGCGTCGTCCTCCCCTTTTGTTGCCAGCTACCTGATCGGACCTTTTCTTTTCGATTCTTTATCGATGTAAGATTTTCCAATGAGCAATTTGTCCACTGCACAATTGAGTACAATTCACAGTGCTACCTCACATTCCTATATATTATATATACCTTCTCATTCCCTCACACATTGTCATTTAAAGGAGTAAATACAGGTGGATGTCTACTACAGGCTAATAAAAGCCGAAATATTACATATTAAATAAAAACATCTTATTTAAATAATTTTTTATTGTTGAAATATAATAGTGGGAGTATTGTGGTCCTTGTAAAACTTTACATATATTGACGTATTGATTAAATGTGAAAACTAAATAAAGATCTTACGAAAGACAAATAACCCAAATAAGGTTGTTTATCATATATGATTTTTATCTGATATATCTTTGCTTATTTTTTGTCAGGAAATAATCAAATTTCTGATTGAATAGCCAATTTAGGATTTACTTGCCTAAGCTTAACTTGCACTCTCCATAATTAGAATGGGATTTGTGTTCCAAGACACACATTAATATACGCAGCATTAATTTTTATTTATTTGAGCAGCTATTAAATTATTCTCACAAATTTTTTTCCAAATTCACCATCCTTGAAAAATCCTCAGTATTCACAGCAGTTGTATCTGTCTTTCTATGGTTTGTTGGTAGTTATACCTCTGATTTGATCGTTTATGTGATCCAAGTGTACCTATATACTTGGTTATATTTATATTAGAAGGCGGAAAGGCCGAGTGGGCAATGCATATTCAAAACACAGGAAAAACTGTAGATAACATAATAAAATAATTAGGAGTTCACATCCTTATTACTGGGGGTTTTTAACTTTGTCATTAATTTCCCATCCAAAGGGGAGTATAAAAATAAAAAGTTCATATTATTGCTATAATACAGCCAGGTGTTACATTCTTAATTCATCTGTTATTATTATATTCTTTAAGTGAACTTATATTGTGATGCATATTAATGTTTGTCGCCCTTTGAATCTCTGAGGAAGAGTCATAAACAAATCAAATAAAAACTTAAATATAAATTTAGTTGGAAGTAGTTTTTAGTTTTTCTGATTATTATTTAAAATTAAAACTTAAAATCTGCCCTATTACCCAACTAAGGTGAAGTCACGAGAAGAGTTTTGTGTTTGGGTTGACTGCTTTTCGGTATGTTATGTAACGATTTTTTTAGGGAACGGCTGGAGTGATTTTTAAGTTTGATGGTTCAAATTACTGTATAAAATGTGTTTAATCTATCCCTTAAAAGGTACGTGAAGACTTATTGAGCAAACAGCTAGCAAACATCAATTTTTTAATTAGATGTTTCAAATTATTTAGTGTGTTATCATGAATGTTTTGAAACGATTTAAGCTGAAATTTATATTTTAAGTGTGCTCAAACATTTGGTAGTTTCATATCATACCATTTGTAAGTTTACAATCCTATGTGTCGATTATAAATTGTCAAAACTTAACAAACTAAAAACATTTTAAAAAATACTCTAACAAAAAAATAAAACTTACTATACAAGTAGATTTTGTCTTAGTGCATGTCAACATTCAAAAGTCTTGAGTTTCATTCAGGGGAAGAAGGCTATTTACTTATGATAAAAAATTTGTCTTCTGTTATTTATGAATTATATAGTATAAATAAATATAGTACTAAATGTTATATATCTATTTCAGAGCCTTGGCCGAAACATATCGAAAAAGACAAGAGAAAGCACACGATGTTGTCAGAGTACAGATGATAGGTGATCAGTCTGTGTCAGTTACTCCTATTCAGTTTTCACATCGGCAAAGAATAGATACCAATAAGCAAAATTAGTAAGTATAGTTTCTTTTTTATTTTTATCTCCTTGTTTTATTATGAATGAGCCTCTTGATAAGTTACATTGAGGTTTGTATTGTAATATTTCTTGTTCCTTAACAAAAAATACTATATTAGATTGAATTAATTTTATACACCCTCTTTTCACCAGTTAAAAAATTATTCTTAAAGAAATAAATATTAAAATCTTATGAAAGTCTTGTGTATGTATTTATTGTGTTTTATGATATTTTCTGTCTAACAAATCTAAAATAATAAAAACGTTAGTAGACTGTTTACCTGTTATCCTGCTGTAGTTGTTAATCTATGCTTGTGAAATTGTTAGAAAAAAAATTAATTAAATTTAACTAAAGTTAAAAAATAAAAAGCATTATCATATTCAAGCCATATACCCCTTACAAGCTTGTTTAATTTTATATTAGTTAAAATAAATAAATTTTTATTTTGTTCTTATTTAAGCAAATAATCTTTTAAGCTTATACTTTTTGGTTATCTATATTCCCTTTTTAATTTTAGCTCAGAAAATGAAAGTACCTTGAATGATACAAAGCAAGTAAATGAAAAAGATACTGTTCTTCGGTTACAAAAAAGGCACACTCTCTTTGGTAACTTACTTATTAACCATCAGGTCAGTGTTTTTTACATATTTAATTATTTTACTAGCTTACTCCGCACAAACCTAATAATTATATCTGATTTTAATACATTAAGAGAACAATTTTCATTCAATAATGTTTGATACTCCTAGGTTTATTACATTTTGTAAGTTGCCTGTTTATGAATAGGATTTATATTTGGCCATAATTTAACCATTGCATTTCCTTAAACTTATAATTTAAATATTAGCATTTTCCTTCATTAGATTATCATCAATTAACCAAAGCTATTAAACATTGCTCTAAACATCTGATGACGTCAAAAGAATCAAATTCTCAGGAAGTTACATAGTTAGTCCAATCAGGATATATGTTACTTTATCATTAAATAAAATCAAAAGTGTATTTATCAAATGATAAACTACAATAATAAAGATCCAGTAGTAAATTCTATTTTAATCGAAGCACATTGAAAAAATTAGCAACAATATTTGAAAGAAAACACATTTGTATAAATAAAAATAAAATTAATATTGTTATTAATTAAAAAGAATATAATTTTTTGAAATTAAAAAAAAATACTAATTGATAAATAATATACTGTACCCCGGAAACAAAGGGTAAATTTCCAATTTGATAAATAACTACACACCCAATTGTAAGTTAATCTTTGCAGTGCAACAAATGTTCAGAAAGCTATAACTCTGCACCAAATTGTCCAATTTCAATGATTTTTTTTTACTTTCATACCTATACTAGGTAAGGAAAGTATTGCAATTGGGTCAATACAAGGTAATGAAATTCCCTACAAAAATGTTATGGGGCTCAACTTCCTAAGTATATATTATACAGTAAAATTCATAATAAAACTATTGAAAGGTAATTAAATTATCAACAAACCAAAAATAATTCATCGGAATCGAACCAGTATTAGCGATGATACAGCTTATTCTATTTTTTACACATTTTTTAACTTATTACTTTCCTACCTATACTATGTAAGGAAAGTATTGCAATCAGGTCAATACAAGGTAATGAAATTCTCTACAAAACTATATAAAAATCGTTCATTTTGGACAATTAATAACGAAGTTACAGCTATTCAATTTCCAATGTAAGATATTACGGATTCATATCCTGGTGTCAGAAAGGGGTGAATGAGAGAAAAAAGATGACAATGTGAAAGTAAGGAAATCTGTTTCCCGCATCACACAAGCTTCACTATTTCTTCTACTTTAACAGAAATTATTGTTTGACAATACTAAGCTATTGCAAAATATTAGAGAGTATTGAAATTTTTACACTGATCTAACTCAAGCCGGTTTACATTGCTTTAATTTATCAAATGAATCGTACTCAAATCTTTTCTTTGATCAATTTTCAGGAAAATAAATCTAGTTTAATTTTTTTTTTTTTTTTTTTTTGTTTCTTCATGAACTTATGTAAAGAGATAAAAACTTTTCTGAAATAGTAAAGTCGTGTGAGTGGACACACCAGATATTTTTTTTTTACATTTTACCGGGAATTTAGTAAACTTTCAAATACTCATACGTATAATGCACCAAAAATTGCGTCCTTTTCGAGTTATTTCCTAATTATGAATTCATTTCTCACCTACTCAATTCGTTGAGACGTCACCATTATATGGTTTGAAACCTCCCACTTTTACATTCACTTTTATTTAAGTCCAGGTATAAAATTAGGAATCAAAATTACGATTCGCACACTACGTTATATTCTCTTTCTGTTGATACCTCATTCATCAAAATCCATCACTTGTGAGAGCCAGAAAAGAGATATATATTTGAGAAATAATACATAAGATAGTTTTTTTTTTCAATAAATGAATTAAGATTCAAAATTAATCAATTAATATTTTCTATAATGAAATAATTATATAAATTACAGTATTTCTGTATCAATCTTTGTATTCTGTAATTTGAAGGAAACTTGTTTACATTCCCAAAATGTTTTAGTATTATGTATACCCAAATTATTTGATCCATTTTGTGACTTTTTACTAATGTTTTAATCAAGAAACTGTTTTAAATGATTTATTTTTATCATTTATTTCACTTTCACTTACGTATATATGTAATATATAGTAAGGGTAAGTATTGTGATCGAGAAAATTTTTGAATCTGAGTTTTCAACGGAAATAGACGTTTTGAGGTATCCTGTGTCGAAATGGTCTGTGTGTTTGTATGTTAGCAGTCTAGCTCAAAAACGAAAAGTCCTACTGATATTACTTATTTAAGATATGTATCTGCCTTAGATGTGAAGGCAACGTTTTCTTTAAAATCGGCCAACCGGAAGTGCCACTTTATATCAACGCTGAAACACATTTTCACAATTTTCTCAAAAACGGCTCTAACGATTTTGATTAAACTCGGTGTATCGTTGTATAATTAAGTGGTCTTTAATATCAATTAGGTCTTATCCCCATTGATGTCACTTTACAGGGCTTAAATGCCCAATGTTCATATACGTCTTCCTCTAAAGTACCTTTAATATGGTTTATTTTAAAAAGTTAATCATTTCACATTATTCAAAGTAATGAAAAAATGCTAAATATAACTTTTGATAAGTTAATAAAGGAGAAAAAAAATGCAGAAAAACCTGCGTTGCTTTAGACTGTAGCGCCTAAACGAATGTACCGATTTCAATGAAACTTCGCTAAAGTCATTTTCTCGATACCCTTTAAATTTATCTATACAACATATTTCAACGAAAAGAAGCTGAAAAAAAAAGTTACGAGGGATGGTAAAATTAAATTCAGAATAACTCAAAAAGTATACACTTTTTTGTCAATATTGTATATGGTTTTCTATAAGTTTATGGAATTTCCTAAAAAAAAAACAAAAAAAAAATCGCTAAAATGGGACAATTAGGAGGAAAGATATGGTCTCTAGTTTTTTCCCTGTAGAGGCGAAAAATTGGATAAATTTAAAATATACTTTTTTAACCGTTGAGATTAAACAAATTTTTTTTCTACAGATATTTAATAAAGTATCTTTCCTAACAACATCTTTCATAAGAAATAAGTACCTAAATTTATACCTTTATTCTCAGTTCTATATTTCAATACTGCAATCACTACTTCCGGAATCAACTTACTCACTGTCTGCATAGATAACTTTTTCAAATAAAAATATCACTAAAATGACATTACTCAAAAATGTTAAAATTGGAGTTAGTCATTCTGTGGTTTATAAAAGCAAAGAAAGTTGTGTGGTTCATAAAAGCAGATGGAGTGACTAGATATTTATTGCCTACCATCGATATATTAAATAGACATTTTGTAATTATAATGGTCTTAATGATTTGTTATCTGTAAGCTTTAAGCTTTAGCTCCGTTTAAAATGCACTTCAAAAAAATTTATAATAGCCCAGCATTGCCAGAAAATTATTTCTATTCATAGTAGATCGATTAGTGAAAGTTGTGTGTTGTGGGCACCAGATTTTTTTGTTATATTTTGTTTTCCATCTCAAAATAAAATGTTACTCGCTGATTTACAAATTTGAACTTACAATTCAAACTTAAAATTTACAAAGTTGCATACTCTATGCATTCTTAGACAGTTTCTACTATTCTTCGTTTTTATGTTTATCTGTTTTTTGAGTTCAGTTAAATAAAATTGATTATATCTTTTCATGGAGATGTCTATGCTTTTGAAATTATAATATGCTCTGAAGAACATTTAGTCAGGTCGCAAAGGAGTCTTGCTTTATTATTATTATTGCTAACTGTACTATCCAAGCATTATTAATGGTTGCTATACTCATAGATTTTTCTTCTAAATCAAGGATTTTTTTTTAATCAAAATGTTTTATTCCCATTACAATATTAAGGAATTTTTTTTATTATTTTTTTTATTTAGAAAAAATATATTTTGCCTTAATTAAGGGCATTGAGTATTTGGGATGAATGAAATACAAACATACCATATATACAGTAAAAGGAAAAAAAGATTATAACAAAATAAAATAAAACTTGGAGTAACGGAATAAATCGATCATGATACAACATTAAATAAAAATAAATAAAAACACATTCATACTTATTTTAAGGAATTAAAAACAATTGGTACTACCACAACCATTAAGAGTTTTGGGTTCAGTACTTAGTAAAGAAGTTCTGTTTCTAGGCCAACAGTTGCTTAAAAAGGTTCAACTGCAAGTTTGTCCATTTAATCAATTAATTGATTAATTAAAGGGTCGTACGTTTTGTAGGGTGGGTACACCCCAGGAGGATCTTTTAATATAATTAATACCCCAGAAGTTTGATGCTGATACTATGGTCATCCGTTGATTTCATATTTTCCTTATCTTTGTATGTTATCTCAAGCGTTGTCCAAAAAGTTACAGACCTCCACATCAAGTAGCAAATATTTTCGCAGAATTTAAAAGATATTCATCCAAGTTTGAGTCATTTTGGATGTGCACATGTCTTTCAATGTAACCATTTTTGTGAAAATGGATAATCTGAAATGTTGAGGTGGCATTAACATCTGTTGCTTCCTCACTACCGAAATTTTGTGCTCAGAATCTGAAATTCCCACTCGTGTTTTACATTTCAGATATCAAGGATCAAATTTAGATTGTTGTCTGTCTGTAGTCAAATCGATGTGACGGGCATATCACCTAGTACTGTTCATCCAATATTCATGAAATTTTCAGGGATTGTGCGGGTTGGTACCTAGATGGTCCCATATCAATTTTATCATATTCGATCCAGCACTTCCGCTTATGCATGCCCAAACGTATTTTTTTAGATATACCAATATTTCAGGATTTAGCTCAAAGTTGGATAAATGGTAGGTATTGGTGAAAAAATAATATAGTGTAAATTCTATTGAATTCTATCCATTACTTTCTCTTATATATGCGCAAACATGTTTTCCTTGATACATCTATATCTCTGAAACTGCCCCTTTGATTTTACTCAAATTTGGAGTGTAGTTAGGGATTGGTAAACAGATAATCAAGTATGTATGAATTTTATCAAATTCTATCCACTACTCAAAAAAAA